GTGGACCGAGTTTGGATTCGATGTGGGGGTAACTTCACGTTTAGCCAGGAAATGCTCGCAACGACCCTCAACGGAACCGATATTTTACTCGGGCGTGAGTGGCTACGACGACACAAACCGCGAATCGACTGGACGACGGATGACTGCACTATGCGAGTGAACGGTAACAATATCGCCTTACCTCGCTGGGGCTCATCTGAGTCTTCGTTGGTGCGTATCAATGCGATCACGATGAAGCGCGCCTTAGCGGCAGGAGCTGACGTGTACACGGTTGACATTCGAGAAGCCGAGGCAGCAGACAAAGGAGGGGATTTACAGAAACTGCTGGCCAATGTACCGAGTGATCTGGCAGCACTGTTGAAGCAGTACTGTGACATTTTCTCGGACGACCTACCGACGGGACTGCCACCTCAGCGGCCGCACGACCACAGGATAGAAATAGAACCGGGGGCACAGCCGACAGTGCAGCGACAGTTCCGAGTGACCCAACCCGGACTGGACAAACTAAGGAAGCAGCTGGATTATCTGCTAGAGAAGGAGTTCATTCGCCCTAGTTCGTTGCCCTTCGCAGCACCGATACTGTTCACGCCGAAAAAAGACGGGGAATTTCGCATGTGCATAGATTACAGAGCACTGAACAGGGTTACCATCAAATCCCGTTACCCCATCCCGCGAGCCGACGAACTGATCGACCAACTGTGCACAACACGGGTTTTCTCGAAAATTGACCTTCGAGGGGGTTACCACCAGATTCGCGTTAACCCACCCGACTGCCCTAAGACAGCCTTCCGAACACGCTACGGATCCTTTGAATCCACCGTCATGCCCTTCGGACTGACCAACGCCCCCGCCACTTTTCCAATGACCATGAACGAAGCCTTCCGCCCGCTTTTAGATAAGTGTGTCATCGTATACCTGGACGACATCCTGATTTACAGCCCGGACCGAACACAGCACTTACAGGACATCGAAACAGTTTTTAAGATACTGAGTGGGAATCGCCTACTGACCAAAGCATCTAAGTGTGAGCTTTTACAGGACCGACTGGAGTTTTTGGGACACATTGTTTCAGCTGCAGGAGTGGAAATAGACCCAAAAAAAATTGCAACGATTCAAGCATGGCACGTGCCGACCAACTTGACTGAGTTGCAGAGTTTTCTGGGGCTCGTCAACTACGTGCGCCGGTTCGTCCCCGACATGGCGAAGCTGGCTGCCCCGTTGAATGATTTTCTGAGAAAGGGGGTTGAGTACACGTGGGGGGAGAAAGAGCAAGCTGCCTTCTCGGCCCTCAAAAATATTTTGTGCTCACCGCCTGTGCTTCATATCGCAGATCCGCACCGTGCGTTCGAGCTTGTCACCGACGCTAGCGACACCGCTATGGGAGCAGTACTATTGCATGACTTTGGGAACGGACTTCAGCCAATCGCGTACGAGTCCCTCAAGCTTCACCCGCCCGGACGCAACTACCCGATACACGACCGCGAGATGGTGGCGATCGTGCATGCGTTCAAGGTGTGGCGATGTTACCTCACGGGAGCAGATGTGACAGTACGGACAGACCACCGATCCCTACAGTACCTTCGCGCCCAACCGAATCTCAACGCACAACAGATCCGCTGGTTGGACTTGTCAAAAGTTAGAAGAAAGAAAGAGGGAAAAGGGGGATTGAACTAGCAAGAATGAGGATACAAATAGCAAACCCTAGACGAGTTGTACTCGCTATAGAGCACCCCACTACAGGCTAGAACAATAAGATAATATTCTGACACACCCCCATAGCCAAAGTGGGGTGTAATCAGCAGAGCAGGCAAAGCAAAACAAGCTCAGGGTGGATCACAATGTCACCACACATTCTGAGCACAAGTTCAAGAAGAAATAGTTTAGAGTTCACAATTATAAGCAAAGCTAGTGGTAGTCACAACGGGCAAGTGAGGAGGAGGAGGGAGAGTGAGGGGAGAGGAGACAGGACGCGACGGCTGAAGCTGCAGACACACGGGCAACAGGAGGCAGACTGGCACAGCGGCTACCGGACAGCGCCCGGACTACAGGAGTAACAGGCCCCGCGGCTCAAATAGCGGCGGACGGGCAACGGACCCACGGGCGGCTGGCACAGCTGGCTACGACTGGGCTACCGGGACAGCGCCCCGGACTACAGGTGCTGCGGACGACAAGCCGGCAGCCTCCGCTCAACCTCCCGCAAACAGTCCCACCCCCCTGATACACACCCACTGCTACACCGCTAGCTCCACTCCCACGCACCCCCCTTAAACCCTAAACCCCAGTCTCCCACACAACCACCCCCCTCAGCGACAGCTGCAGCAGTGGGAGACGAAGGAGGAGGAGGAGCAAGGGAGGAAGGCACACCGGCCACCCCCATACCCGCAAGCGGCCCCCTCAGGTCGCCTCGACAGACGACGGGAAATGGCAGGGGGAAGGGGGGGGGGGGGGGGGGGGGGAGGCGGTGTGGTGAAAGGGGCCCACCACGGGCCTGGTTGGAGGGCGGGGCCGCGACAAGGGGGCGGGGCCGCGACGTAGGGCGGGGCCGCTTCGAGGGGCGGGGCCGCGACGCAAGGCGGGGCCGCGACGTAGGGCGGGGCCGCGACAAGTCGGCGACGGGGCCGCGACGTAGGGCGGGGCCGCGACGCAGGGCGGGGCCGCGACGTAGGGCGGGGCCGCGACAGGTCGGCGGCGGGGCCGCGACGTAGGGCGGGGCCGCGACCGAAGGTGGCGGGGCCGCAACCGGAGTAGGGCGGCGGGGCCGCGGCGGGTCCCCGTCGCCCGTCGCGACGCCTCCAGAGCGGGACGCGGCGAACGCCGCGAGGCAGACGCCCGCCGCGCGCCTCGGGGCGCACAGCGGGCAGAGAACCGCCGCGCGCCTCGGGGCGCACGGCGGGCAGAAAACCGCCGCGCGCCTCGGGGCGCACGGCGGGCATAAAACCGTCGCGTGCCTCGGGGCGCACGGCGGGAGGAAAAAGTAGCAGCGGAAGCGAGGTGGTAACCCACCCACAGGATCGATCCAAGGGGATCGACCTGCTCTGATAGCATGTCAAAAGTTAGAAGAAAGAAAGAGGGAAAAGGGGGATTGAACTAGCAAGAATGAGGATACAAATAGCAAACCCTAGAAGGGTTGTACTCGCTATAGAGCACCCCACTACAGGCTAGAACAATAAGATAATATTCTGACAGGACTATCTGAAGTCCAATTTCCACTACACGGTCACGTACAAAAAAGGCACATCCAACATCGCCGACGCACTCACACGCCCCACCGCCCAACTCCACGCCATCCTACTCGCCCAAACCAGCCCACTGTTATCAGGCCTATTCACCCACGGATACAGTACCGACCCATTTTCACGACCGGAAATTCACAGCAAGTGGTAGAAGCAAAAGGAGTCTATTACGTAAAAACAGGCACCAACTGTCAGAATCCCAAAACTAGACCATTGGGATCAAATGGCTTGTTAAGTAGTGGGTCAGTGCGCCCATAACCCCCCAAGCAAACATACCTGTAACCCTTCCCTAGGATCAATCGAGGATCACCAGTGGACCTCTGACACCCCCCCGCACTGGGATGCCCGAAGTGCACACCCTCGGATTCGAGCCCGAGACCTTTGCTCTGATACCATGTCAAAATCCCAACCGCTAGACCATTGGGATCAAGGGCTTGTTAAGTAGCGGGTCAGTGCGCCCATAACCCCCCAAGCCAACATGCCTGTAACCCTTCCCTAGGATCAATCGAGGATCACCAGTGGACCTCTGACACCGACCGCATCTGGGTACCGGCGTACTCACTACTGAGGGAACTGTTACTGCAGGAGGCACACGACGGGATTACCTCGGGACATTTTGGGGTAGAAAAAACGCGACAGCAACTACAGCGGTATTACTACTGGCCGAAGCTGTTGACCAACGTACAGCACCACGTGGGCTCGTGCCCTACGTGTCAGGTGATGAAGAGCTCGCGAAAAAGAAAGGCGGGTCAGTTGCAGCCGATTCCACCGCCTGAGCGCGCCTGGCAGCAGGTTACCATGGACTTCGTCACATGGTTACCTTCGAACCTTGGGGGTAACGACGCGGTTATGGTCATCGTTGAAAGATTGACGAAGATGGCACACTTCGCTGCGTGCAAGAAATCGATCTCAGCTAAAGAAACCGCTCGCTTGTTCATCGCAGCCGTCGTGCGACTTCACGGGATACCAGCCGCGATAATCAGCGACCACGACGCGAAGTTCACCAACAACTTCTGGAAGAACCTCAGGGAGCAGTTTGGGAGGAGGCTACAGTTCAGCTCGTCGAACCACCCCGAGAGCGACGGTCAAACGGAGCCGACGAATCAGACGACGGAGCAGTTGATTCGTGTCATGTGCGACGACCCCACCACTTGGGAGCAGCAGCTGCCGCTGATCGAGTTCGCGTAGAACAACGCCACGTCAGCGACGACGCAGCAGTCCCCTTTCTATCTGAACTACGGGCAAAACCCTACAATGCCCATGACGCCGAGTCCAGACAACCCAACACCACGTGCACAACAATTCGCCGAAATTCTGCAAGCTGCCCGCACCAGAGCCGCAGAAGCAATTAAAAAAGCCAACGCCATCACTAAGCGCAACGCTGACCGCCACCGCCGCCCAGTCACGTACCACTCAGGAGATTACGTACTGCTCGACACACAAAACTTAAGACTGCCCGTTGTACCAAAATTGCGACCCCGCTACTGTGGACCATTCCAAATCGGCGATATGATTACCCCAGTGACAGCTCACATACCGTAAAGTGCCACCTATAGGACCCGCCGTTAAGAGGGTCCCCCGGGACTCTTGAATGAGTAGGGGGACTCTTATTGTGGCAGGTTTTGTGAGGACCCCCCCTTTGTAGCTAATCATTATAAGACCCCCCCCTTTCCATATAAGGCCCTATTGAGTTTGGTGCAGTTAACATTGTTATCGTTGTTACCTACCGTACTACATACACATCTCAACACCTAGTGGTCACTACAACTACGGCTTGGTCATGTTAGATTCCATCAAGCACTTAGCGTTCGCATCCTCCTCCAGCCCACCCTCCGCCTCCTCTTCCTCGTCATTCACATCGTCCTCCTCCTCCTCCACCTCCTCCTCCTCCTCCTCCTCCTCCTCCTCCTCCTCCTCCTCCTCCTCCTCCTCCTCCTCCTCCTCCTCCTCCTCCTCCTCCTCCTCCTCCTCCTCCTCCTCCTTCTCCTCCTCCTCCTCCTCCTTCTCCTCCTCCTCCAAGTCCCCGGCATCCTCAGCATCCGCAGCCTTTGCCGCCTCCTCATCCTCCGCGGCTGTGGCGAACAGTGGGTTCACCCACTCCTCCACCTCAGGGGCGACGTGCACGTCTTGTGCCACCTCGACCTCGCCCGCATCATGCATGTGGGCCAGGACGAGGTGATCTTGCTTCCCATCGACCGAGTTGCTGATGCCTGTCGTGAGAAACGCCTTCTCAATAATGTGCTCGGGGACAGCCACCCAAGCACTCGCAATCCACTTGAGGACCGTCTCTGCTGGCGGCTTCTTCAGGTTGCCTGCCATGTAAACAGGAAAGAACAGGCACGGGGCGCACACGGGGAGTTATCATAAAGCCAACAACCAGCTACAAACACGCCACAAGGCGAGGTACTAAGCACAGCACCGAAACTCACCGGCTTTCGTGAATGTGTTGACGCCAAACTCGGCAAACCCGTCATTGTAGAGCTGACGGAGCAGTGCCTTGAATGAGCGATTAACGCTCACATCAAGGGGCTGTAGCAGTGGGGTGCAGCCCCCGGGAATTATTGCCGGAATTACCCGGTTCCACTTCATGTTGGTGAGAACGCCGTCGGTGAGGTGACCCTGGTATGAGTCCACGACGAGAAGCGTCTTGGAACGCCGGATGCCACGCGGAGGCTTGATGAACGGCAGCAGAACGTTATTCACCCAATCATCCACTAGCTTTGCAAACATCCAGCCTTTCGCCTGCGCACGAACAACGACTCATGCAAAGAAAACAACGCACGTGGTTAGAAATCTGCCACGAAGAGAGACTACCGTGATGGTTACAACTCTAGCAACTCACCTGCAGGGACCCGAATTTTCGGGATCGTTTTGCGCTTGAAGATTACCATGGCGGGGAGCTTGCGCCCGTCCGCGGTGATCCCGAGCATGACAGTCACCCTGTCCTTCTCGTAGCCTGCGCTTCTGACGTGCACCGTCTTCTCTCCGCGGTGATGCAGGGTGCGCTCGTGCGGCATCTCCAGGAAAACGGGCGTCTGGTCGGCGTTTATAATGTTCAATGCGTCTATGCCATGCTTGATTATGTTCCTCCTCGTGAACGCCCAGAACTTCTCACACTTCTGCCTGCACTCTGCCTCGGACGCGGACAAGGCGGGAGAAGGACATTAGTGACGGCGGTGGGTGCATTAGTGTTACATGTCGCCAAGCAAACTATACAAGCACACACACGGAGGGAAGCACAAGATAGCTCACCCGATGCCATACGCTGACCCATCTTCGTCTTCACGCGGATGGAGAGGCCCAAACGCTGGCGGAAGCGGAAGGTCCACCTGTTGGACGCCATCCACCTCACATCAGGGTAATGCGCCTTCATGTAACACCGGCTCCAGTGCTTAATGAGACGAATAGGCACGGCCAAGGCGCCTCCATGTCGGGATATTTTGCCTTTCTCCCTCCACCACTGAGTCGGCGCCTGGACGGTGCCGCCTTCTTAATCCGATCCGCCGCCCTTATCCACCGGCGGACGCTGACAGGCTGCACCCCGGCGAGACGTGCAGTGGCGCGGACAGAGAGCTTCTCATCGTCCATCCGCGGGAGCCATTCCTGCTTCTCACCCATGGTTCGCGCAGTGCGACGGTGGTTAGTCTTGCGGGCGCTGTGAACTGCTGGAGCACCGTCAACGTTGGAGCGAGGCCCGTTTTTGTTGTGGATCAAGTCATCCGGAAACGTAGGGATCGGGAAATCCCCGACGTCGTCTTCCATGTTCTCGTTCTCGGCATTCGTCTCGTTCTCACCGTCCTCAGCGACGTATTCAGGAAACCCCTCCTCCTCGAGCGGGTCCAAAGGAGGAGTGGTGCGCCAGTCAACGAAGCCCGGGGGAAGCACAGGGGGCGCAGGTGGCGCCGGAGGCGCAGGGGGTGCCGGAGGTGTGGGAGGAGCTGGAGGAGCTGGCGGGGCCGGGCTTGTGATCAGTATGATTGGGCGCTAGCCAGACCCACTTCCTACCGCCATACTGCGAGAACGCCATGGGCTTTCGAAAGCCGACATGGCGAAGAGCTGATACAGTTCTAAGGACCTATGGTTCACTAAATGGCAGACGCCATGGCGGGCTATTTAGATGGGTAGGAAGCTAGCTGGGCGGACAAGATTTGAAACAGAGGGAGGGAGGGGATGAAAGCTTGCGTGTACGGTAGAGTGAGGGACGTGAAACTCTAGTGCTACACGTCCAGTACCCATTCTGCCACAGAGACATGATGGGGTGGTCAAGGGCCACCTGACGTGCCCATCTTAACGGAAACACCGTCGAGAGGATGTGAGGTGCAGGGCAAACGCCGTTCAGTCCGCCCCGTGCTCTGATTTTTGCCGCGTGTCATTCCCGATGATGCGCACGTGGGGTGTGAGAATAAGCGAACAGGAATGAATGAACTAGAAAGGGAAATGAGTACAAGTAGTAAACCCTAGAATTGTGTACCCCCTATGGGCTAACCCACTGTAGCCTACACAAGCATAACATATATAATGTTTGACACACCCCCATAGGCAAAGTGGGGGAGAACAAGGGGTCACAAGACCAGTCAAGCAAAGCAAAGCAAGCTCAGGGTGGATCACAAAGTCACCACACAGTCCGAACACAAGAGCAGGGCCAGAGGCCAGTTCACATGCAGGAGTACAGACATATATATAAAACTAGACAAGCAAGAGCAGGTATATATATATGTAACAGTACAAGTAAAGTCAAGAGGAGAGCAAGTGAGGCAAGACAGGCACAAGACCCAGCTGGGTGCAAAAGCGCTGATGGTCACAAGGCGCGAGTGCCTTGGTGAAGACATCAGCAGTGTTGGCCTCAGAGGCCACGTACGCAAGTCGCAACTGACCACGCTGCTGCAGCTCACGAGCAAGGAAGTAGCGGAGAGCAATGTGCTTCGTTCTGTGCTCCAAGCGTTGCTCTCGACACAAGGCAAGCATGGCCTTGTTGTCTACATACAGCACTGGAGGAGAACGAGGCGGCTCTCCAAGGTCAGTCAGCAGGTAGGTGAGCCAGCGAAGCTCCTGTGCAGCCATGGCCCTGGCGTAGATCTCAGCCTCACAACTGGAGCCGAGAACTGAAGACGAGCGAGTAGACCGCCACGAGACAGAGCCGGAACCAAGGCTGAAGGTGTAACCCTGTGACGACCTCTGCGTGGCCTGGTCGTCAGCCCAAGAAGCGTCCGCGTGGCCTGTAAGGACCACTGGACTCCGCCCTCCAAGCACTAGCCCCATGCTCGACGTACTGCACAGGTAGCGCAATACCCTCTTCGCTGCAGCCATGTGCTCTGGTCGGTGTCTCCCAGGAGCAACATAGCGTGCAAGGATGCTGAGAGGGTATGCAAGGTCAGGTCGAGTGCAGGTCATCAGGTACATGAGGCAGCCAACAAGCTCTGCATACGGACCACTCGACTCTACGGACTCATCCGAATGCAGAGCTGAGAGTGAGTGGCGAGTAGGCAGAGGAGTGGCCTGAGGCGAGGAGTACGTGAAGCCGAAGCGCTGAAGGACCTGCTGCACCATGTGTGACTGAGTCAAGGTAATGGTGCGGCGTGCTCTGTCCCGAGTGATCTGCAAGCCAAGGTAGCTGCGCAGTTCACCCAGGTCTGTGCACGTGTGTCTCTTCAGCAGCTCGGACTTCACGTAGGCGAGTCCAGCAGTGTCCGCTGTGGCAAAGACCAAGTCGTCGACGTACACGAGGATGTAGAACGGCGGCACTGAAGTGTCGGTGCGCAGAAACAGCGACGGGTCAGCAGTAGAAGGAGCAAACCCAAGAGCCGCAAGCGTAGTCCTCAGTGTGTCGTGCCACTCACGCGGTGCTTGGCGGAGACCGTAGACTGGCCGTCGGAGGCTCCACTGGGTGCCAGGAGGGAAAGTCCCAGTGAAGCCAGGTGGACGGCGCAGCCAGATCTCCTCGTGCAGGCTACCCTGCAGGAACGCAGTGCTGAAGTCGAGAGAGTGAAGCTCGTAGTCGCGCTGAGCGGCTATGTGCAGCAGCACCCGAAGAGTGGTCATCTTCGGGGTGGGAGAGAAGGTCTGAAAGTAGTCAACTCCCTGCCGCTGACTGAAGCCACGAGCAACGTACCGCGCCTTGAAGACAGGTGGAGAGCCCGGCGGTCGCTTCACCCTGAAGATCCACATGCCACTGACGATGTTCGCCCCAGGAGGGGGAACCGCGTCAACGTAGGTGCCTGTGGACTTCCAGGAAGCCATCTCTGCATCCATAGCTGCTTGCCACTGAGAGGAGTAGGGACCCTCTACGGCCTCCGCGTAAGAACGCGGAGTCGGGATGTCTAGTGCATCCGGGTCTCCCTCAGGGGCAAGCAGTACAGACGCGAGATGAGGTGAAGCAGCCGCTAGACACTGTAACTCCTCCTGCCTGTCCTCTAGGACGTCCGTGCCAAGAGCACACTCACCCCCGACGGACGGAGGACAGACAGACGCAGACTCAGCAACAAGACTAGCAGCGTAGTCGAGACGACAGCGAGCAGCAAAGTCGACGAGCTCAGCGACAAGAGCAGACGCAGCAGTGGACTCAAAAGAGGGGTCAGTGACGACAGTAGCAAGCAGACGCGTGACAGTAGGACTGGCAGCGCGAAGAGAGTCCGACTCAGGGTCGGCAAGTGTAGGAAGAAAGGACTCATGAGGAGAAGGCAAAGGGGCACGCAGAGGAGCAGTGGACGGACGCAGAGACATCCGGTGCGTGCCAGGGACAGGAGGAGGACGCTGACGCGAACCGCGACCACTAGTGCGAGCAGCACGAACAGGCGCACTGGACGAGACGCAGGCTCACGACGCTCAGCAAGACCTCCAGTAGGACCAGTGTAAGGAGAGGGAGCAGGCAGTGGAGAGGAAGGCTCCAACAGTGACTGCGACTGGACAGGCTGTGGACACTCTACCGGAGGAGAAAGACCAAGAACCTGCTGCAGGAGCGGAACGAAGTACGGCCGAGGCCGCGCGGCAGCTCCAGACGCAGCAGGGACAGCACCAGCACCCTCAGCGACAGCACCAGCGCCACCAACACCTCCAGTGGCAGGACCAACAGCAGTAGTCTCAGCACCAACACCCTCAGCAGCTCCAGCTCCAGGAGGACCCGCAGGCCCAGCAGCTCCGGGACCGGCAGCACCAGCACCCTCGACGGTCGAAGAAGCTCCAGCTCCAGCTCCAGCAGCACCCCCAGACTCAGCAGCACGCCTCCAGCGGCGAGCGAACCACTCGCGCAGCTCCTGTGGAGAGAGGGGCTCCCGGCGAGGCGCAGTAGCAGGAGAAACCCCAGGCTCAGCAGCTCCAGACGCAGCCCCCCCAGGCCCAGCAGCTCCCAGCTCAGCACCCCCAGGCTCAGCAGCTCCCGACTCAGCACCCCCAGACCCAGCACCTCCAGGCACAGCACCCCCCTGCTTAGCACCCCAAGGCTCCGTACCCTCCGCAGTAGCACCCCCAGGCCCAGCACCCCCAGTAGTAGCACCCCCAGGCTCAGCACCCCGTCGCACAGCACCCCCAGAGTCAGCACCCCCAGGCTCAGCACCCGCAGCAGCACCAGAGTCACCAGTAACCTCGACCGGGTCAACGGCGTCTACCTGGGACACACCTGAGGCGGCAGGAACCTGAGGGGGGAGGGGGTCTACCGGGGGGGGAACCGGCACAAGGAAGTCCGGGGGAGGGGGGAGGGAAGGAGTGCGGTAGGGGAAGAGACGGTAGAAGGGGACTGACTCGTCGAACGTGACGTCCTGGGAGGACAGAACACGACGAGAGGAGGGGTGGTAAAACTGCCACCCTGGGGCGTCAGTGGGGAAGCCAAGGAAGACACAAGGAGCAGCACGAGGGGACAGCTTGTCCGCAGACAAGTCGCGGACAAACGCCCGAGATCCCCAGACACGGAACGCAGACGCATCGCCAACCTTCCCCGTCCACAGCAAGGCTGGGGACATCGCAGGCCTAGAGACCCGGGGGTGAAGGTTGAGCTGATGCGCCGCGTACCTCACCGCAAACGGCCACAGAAAATGGGGGGCAGCCGCATGCATCATGGACGTACGAGCGACATCCATGACCATGCCAATGCGGCGCTCAGCAATCCCATTTTGCTGTGGTGAGTCCGGAAGCGTGAAGGTCTGGCGGATCCCCCGTGCACGACAGTAGTCTCGCAGAAGGCGAGAGGAGAACTCTCCGCCTCTGTCCGAGTGCAGACGCAGAACAGGAAAGTCCGAGCCGAAGCTCTTCCTGAGCTGGAGACGAGCCTCGCGGATCCAGTCGATCAGCACCTCAGTGACCGCACCCTTGCTGCGCAAGGAAAGGACTGTGGTGTAACGCGAGTAGTCGTCAACCACCAACAGGAAGTAGCGCTCGTAGCCCTGCCCACGGACGGGGGCTGGGCCCCACACATCCATGTGAAGCGTCTGCAGGGGAGCCTCTGTCGGGGGGAAGTGGGAGGAGTGAGGAGTAGCCCGGAGGCGACCCTCGACACAGGGGACACAGGAAGGTCCTGGCCCGGAGGGGAGTGGAGGGAGAGACTGGGGAAGACCAGAGACAAGGACACGGGAAGCCATGCTCCGAAGACGGGACAAGGAGGGGTGGCCAAGACGGTGGTGCCACAGGAG